GCTGCCGGATTTCCTCCTCCATCTCAGCAATTTCCTCCAAGGTCTGAGGAGATAAAGGTGTGTCATGAGGGACGGCCCAGGAGACAGACTGGGACACAGCCCCCATGGCTCTGGGGATTTCACTGTGCTAGGGATGGGTTTCTGAGGATTTCTGAGAACTGAACCCTCTGCTTCCACAAGCTGCTTTCCATGTAACCAACAGCCTTTTGGATTCCATTCCCAGCCAGGGCTGTGGTGGATGACCAAAGAAATACCACTTACATTCTTCTCTTGCCATCTCAGTTCACTAAGGGCTCCTTCCATGTCTCTAATCCTCTTCCTCAAGGCAAACTCCGTAGCTATCCGCTGAGCATCCAGCTCATTGTTTGTCTGGGGAGGGAACAGGCTCCAGTCACACGTGGCTACAAGGTGTCTGTGCCCCCCAGCTGTGCCTGGGAGGTTGGGGCAAGCCCAGGAGCAAAACCAGCTGGGTTTGGCCACTGCCATAGGTGTGCAGGTCACCCTCCCCCGGTAGCCAGAAGGCAGGGATCGGTGGACAGGTACATGCCCTCCAGCTTGCTGACACTGCTGCATGCTCCACAGCACAGCCAAGCTCCTCTCTTATACCAGGAGGGCAGCTGCTCCCAGACAGACCCAGAGACATGCCTGCCAGTCTCCCACACTGGATCCAGGACAGCACCACGGATCTACAGCCGAGGGAGCATTACCTGGGCAATGGTGAGCATGATGGCTCCTCGGAGGTCAATCGAGGCTTTCATTTCTGCATCAGCACGATCCTTGTTGCACTGGCTGTTCAGTTCCCACTCACGAAGTGCAGTTGTTCTGTCAACAAATCAGTTAAGAAAATAAACTGAGTGTTTGCAAGACAGCTCAAAGGAACTACCTGCTGCAGACGAGGATGGCTTTGTGCAGCACAAAACGATTCCAGAAATCTGGAGGTCACGTCCTGCCTCACCTCCTCAGAGACTGAACCCCACTGAGCCCAACAGCTGCTCCACCAGGGGCACATCCAAGCCATAGAAGGGAATGCCAAGTGAAAATGTGCAGCAGCTCCCCCATGAGCTGTGCCAGGGGTGACACCACACCACTGAGTGTCACCTACAGCCAGGCAGGAGGCCCAGCAGCTGGCCTGGGTTTGTGGTGACAAATTAGCTAGCTCCCACAAGTCTGTGGCTTCACCATTCCACAGCAAATCCCAGAGCCAAATCCTGTTCTGAGCTCTCTCCAAAGCTGTACCCATCAAACCAGGATACAGCACAGAAGGAAAAAGCGTCTCAGGGCTCTTCCAGGCACGGATTTGGCCACACAAGGGCAGGTTCTTTCCTTACCCGTCTGGGATCCGCGTTGGGTTGACCTTGAAGGAGATGTTGCCGGAGGTGACGTTGAAGGACAAGCACTGCCGATCCAGATCCAACGCCTCCACCTTGTGCCGGTGGTCACAGTTCAGCTGCTGCCGAGCTTCCTTCAGGAGGCTGCGGAGAGCAGGGCTGGAGTCAGTGGCAGCAGGCCAAGGGGAGTGGCAGCTCTCAATTCCCGAAGCTTCATCACCATGCCAGTCATCTCTGAAATGAGGGATGACCTCCCACCCCACTGGGAACTGAGCCTGCCCCCCCAGCACTGCCTGCACTGGCATCGCCCTGGAAAATGGAGCTGCAAAGGATTCCCATGGAGGATTAGGGCCTGGGACCTTTAACACCTCCCAGCTGCTGATTCCCGAACCAAGGCAGGTGGCACAAGAGATCTGTCTGGGCCAAAATTTCCCGAGGGTGCTTGTGAAGTCTCCCTTGACACACTCTCCCTTGCCAATCCCCAGACCTTGACAATAACCATCCAAGGCTCCTGTGTGGTTCCCTGCCTGCCCGTCTCAGCGTGGCATTAGAGGCACGTTAAATATCTGGGGCCAAGCAAGGAGGGCAGAGTTTGGCCAAAAGCTGTCACTCCTCACCAGAGCTGTGTGAAGGCTTCGTCCACTCGCTGCTGCAGCTCCTTCTTGGCTTTCTCGATCACCTTCACCTCCCTGTGCAGCTCCTCCTCCACAGGGTCCCTCACCACGTCGATGTCGCGGCGGCTCTCGCGGAACGTCAGGCACTCGATGGCAACATCCAAACACAAGTTCTTTGCCTGGAGGGCATCTTCTGCTGCCTCCTTCACCTGGAAGAAGCAGTCAGCCAGGTGTGTGGGGGGAGCCTTTAGGAATGGGAGGAAGAAAGGAAGGGGAACCCACCCATACCCTCATTAAGAGGGGCTCACACTGCCCATCTTTGCAGTTCTGAAACCTTTTAGCAGGTCTGGAATAAAAATTGCCAGAGCCAAACATCTTAGTCCTCTACACCTGCCACTGCCATTGGGAATCACACCTTGCTGGGGACAAACAACTCAAGGAGCAGCAGGTTTAGAACTCACAGCATCAGAGATGTCCCATTGCTATTCTCTAGTTAAAACCAAACATTTTTGAGGGATGGTGTTAACATATTTTGCATTTTCCTTCAGAGCTCTAAAAAAAGCCCAAACAACAAAAAAACCACCCAGAAACCCAAACAGGAGCATGCAGTGCATGGCTCCATATCATGGTTTGGCTCAGCCAAGAACACACAGTGGTTTGTCTTCCAGGAAGTCATTCCATCAGCTATGGATCCCAGTATAAAATATACATATATATATATATATATAAAAATATATCTAGTGAAAAGGCCTCCTTGAAATCCAGATGGGCTTGCCCATTGCACAAAACAAGCCTCAATTATTTCACATCCCACATTGAGAGTGTAAGTTGATTTCCAGCCATCTGTTTTCCCAACATACTTTGGTTAAGGCATCGATTTCCAAGTCTATGTCTGTGAGGCATCTGGCCAGGACCTCTCTCCATCTGTCCACGCTGGTAATACGATCCTTCAGGCGGGTTCGGGTGTCACACTCATCCCATTTCGCCTGCAATTAGAGAGAAATGCCGTTACTCTTTTCAAAATGGCATTTATGAATCTTGCTGAAGCCTCGCCTTGTTTTTGGACTGACTGACCCTACACAGGAGCACAACACGTTGCCATTTGGTCTAACAGCCATTTACACAAACGGAGAGCACAGAGAACAACACAAGTTGCGACAGACATGAGAATCACATGAGGATTTCCTGACAGTACAGACACATCACTGCAAGCAGATTTACAGGACACAAATGCACATATTTAGCAGTTTCTGTACGGGTCCATACACCCAGATCCAGACACTCTCCCATGCTCTTGAGCCCGCTATCCCGACAAACCTGGGAGCAGCCCCCCTGCCAGAAGGCGCACCTGGTTGCCGGTGTCGTTGCGGAGAGCTCGTGCTTCCTGCCGGATTTGGTGGGAAGTAGAACGCTGGTGTTCGGCATCGGCCGAGATGCGGTGGGCGTTGTTCTGCCAGTCCGGCAGGGTGAACCGCTGGCCCGGCTTTACGCTCAGCGAGGCCATCTCGCTCAGCAGGTGACTGCACGGGGGTGGAAGATTTATCTGTTTATTCGTGGAAGTATGCCCGAAATGGAGCTGCAGCCACAAACTGCAGAGCTCTTCAAGAGAAAAGCAGCGGCAAACGGTAACCTGGCACCTGGCCTAACACAGACACGTGTCCTCACGATGGGGAGCATAAGGACAGGTGATCGGTGCCGTTCCTCTGCCCCAGGTCAGGGGAAAGCCCTGTGCACCGGCCCCTCCCTGGGGAACGGAGCTGCTCCCAGGGACAAGGAGCTGCTCACAGCACTGAGCTTGGACAAAATGGCTGATGATGTGACTGATTCTGCCGTGCTACAGCTGCAGGCTGAGCCCAGGGCTGTGATCCCGGGGCACTCCAAGGCTTTGCAGGGACGGCAGAGTTTGCAGCCATCTCCCTTGTTACCCAGCACATCCTGCACAACGGGCAGGAACTGCAGGGCCCGCTCCACAGACCCAGAGCGGGTCCCGAGGGGGCTGCAGGTGCCCAGCCCCACGGTCAGGTGCAGTTCTGGGGCGGGGTCCCCGTCTGTGGGATACCCCCTGTGGGATACCCCCCGTACCCGCAGCCCCCTCGGGCACGGCCACCGACACCACCGGCTGACGGGGAAGCGCAGACCAGGCATTCCCCAAGGGAAGGAAGCGCGGAGGGAGGGCACGAAGGGCCGCGGGGCACAGCGGTGGAGGGGGCCGGGAGGGCACTCGGCACCTCCGAGCCTCTCTCTCGAGGCCGACCCTGCTCCGCTCCCCACCTCAGGACCGGTCCCGACCCCTTCTCTCCCCTCACAGCCCGGGCCGGTCCCGACCCCTTCTCTCCCCCCTCAGAGTCGGTCCCGGCCCCGCTCTCTCCCCGCCCCAGGGCCGGTCCCGGCCCCGCTCGCCCCCCCTCAGGGCCGGTCCGGGCCGTGCTCCCCTCACAGCCCGGGCTGGCGCCGATCCCGCGCTGTCCCCCGCTCAGGACCGACCGTGGCCCCGCTGTCCCCCTCACCGTTCCCGGCCGATCCCCGGTCTGCCCTCACCGTTCCCGGCCGATCCCCGGTCTGCCCTCACCGTTCCCGGCTGTCCCCGGGCTCGCGCGGGGCCGTTGCCGGGCGGTCCCGGGCAGCGGCGGGTGCGGCGGGTGCAGCACCGGCTGCAGGGCGGGTGTCGGGGACAGGGACACCGCAAACCGCAGCCAAGTGGCACCCAAGGCAGCTAAGGATGATGATAATAATACTTTAAAAAATCCCAACAAAATGACCCACAGAGCAGGAGGGAGCGCCCAGACCCAGAGCACCTTCCCCACCCCACAGCAGCCACCCCTTCCCAGGACTCCTGCAGGTGGTCACAGGATTTAAACTACAACTTGAGCATTTCAAGCTCGGCCCCGGTTGGGGTTGGTTGGTTTGTTTGTTAAGCTAAACGGCATTAAAATAAAATCAAACAGAAAAGACCAGAAGCAAGTGGTTTTCTGGCATGGGTGTGCCTGGAGCTCTCCGCAGATCCCACCACCCAGCCCAACACCTCCACCTCCATCCGATCCTGGCTCTGGGAATAAATTAAAACGATGCACACAGAAATAAAATAAAGTATCACAGATGCATTTCAAAAAAAATTTATTTTTCAAATGAATACGGTTCGTTTACAATACACTCAAGTTGATGGTATCTATAGCCAGCAGAGATCGATGACTG